TCACCAAACCCACCAGGGTCATCGTGGCCACCAGGGCCACCACAACCAGCAGGTCCTTGAGCTCCTCAGGAGCCACCGCGCCCAGCGAGGCCACCCCAGGCCGGTCCCTGCCCGTGCCCCGGGAGGTGGCCGTGCCCCCAGGCGTGCCCGTGCCCATGCCGGTGCCGTGGCACTGACCTGAGGGGATGAGCTTGGCGCTGGAGGCCGAGGCGCAGCGCTGCAGCGACCGCTCGCCCTTGCCCACCACCTTCAGCCCCGGCTCGGGGGGGAGGCTCAGCCCCACGGAGGGGACACCACCTGTGTGTGGGGGGGGGGACACAGACAGTGACCCGGGGTCTCCCCGGTGTCCCCCCGCCCCCGGTGCCCCCCCGGCACTCACCCCCCGGCTCGGGGTCCCGCACCAGCCCGTTGATGCTGGCGGAGGGGCCACAGGCCGAGATGGCCCTGGGCGGGCGCTTGCCGGGCACCTTGACCGTGGTGCGGAGCAGGTCCATCTCCTTGCCGTGCGTGCTGTGGATGTAGTCCTGGGGGGCACCGGGGGGGTCACACGGGGCGCCCCACACCCCGGGGGCCGCCCCACACCCCGGGGGGCCGCGTGGGGCCGGGGGACACTCACGTTGATGGTGGGGTGGTAGAAGAGGAGCCCGTTGCTGGACAGGGTCACGTACTTCTTCTTCCACTCCTTGTTCAGGGAGTTGCCGCTGCGCTTGAGCAGGAAGCTCTGGGGACAGGGGGCCGTGAGGGGACAGGGGACCATGAGGGGACACTCGGGGGACACTGGTACCCCCCCGGTGTCCCTCGCCGGGGCCACCACCCACCTGTTTGATGGGGATGGCGCGGCCGCTGCCGGTGGCCTCGCCACGACTGTCCAGGCTGCGCTTCTCCGAGTCGCTGCCGCGGCGAGTCTGCGGGCACAGGGACGGGGACGGGCCTTGGCACACGTGGCACGGCCGGGGACACTGGGGTGCCCACGTGCCCCCCGCTGCCGGGGTCCCGAGCTGCCACAGAGCCCGTCGCTGGGTGCCCACGTGTCCCACTGTGCCCACGTGTCCCACTGTGCCCCCGCCACCGCACCGAGGGGACGCTGTGGATGCCACGTGTCCCCCAGTGCCACCACCCTCATTGGGTGCCACACGTCCCTTGCTGCCACTACTCTGCCAGTGGACACCGTGAATGCCACGTGTCCCCCTGTGTCACCCTCACCAAGGGGACACCGTGGGTGCCACACGTCCCTCTGTGTCACCTTTGCCAAGGGGACACCGTGGGTGCCGCACATCCCCCTGTGTCACCCTCACCAAGGGATGCCATGGGTGCCACATGTCCCTCCGTGTCACCCCCGCCAAGGGGACACCGTGGGTGTCGTGTGCCCTCCCGATGCCACCACCCTGCCAGGGGGCACCTCACATGCCAGATGTCCCTTGCTGCCGCCGCCCCGCTGGGGTGTCACCGTGTGTCCCTGTGTCCTTCCCCATGTCCCCCCCGTGCCAGGCCCACGGGTGTCACTGTGTGTCCCCCCGTGTCCCCCCTGTGCCCCTCCTGTGCCAGGCCTGTGGGTGTCACTGTGTGTCCCCCCCGTGCCCCCTCGTGCCCCTCCCGTGCCAGGTCCGTTGGTGTCACCGTGTGTCCCCCCCGTGTCCCCCC